ATGAATTGGGGGAGCTGGGGATTGACATATATACAGTAATATGTATAAAATAGGTAACTTATATAAGAACCTGCTGTATAAAAAAATAAAATAAAATTCAAAAAAAAAAGAAAAAAGAACCAAACAAATTCTGCAGCTGAAAAATACATTAAGTGAGTTGGAAAATTCACTAAAGGGGTTCAACATCAGACTTGATCAGGCAAACTTGAAAACAGATCTTTGAAGTCATTAAGTTAAAGCAAAAAAAAAAAAAAAAAAAAAGAAGAAGAAAAGGAAACAGAGTCTAACAGCCCTTGGGACACCATCATTAGGACCAATTTACAAATTATAGGAGTCCCAGAAGAAAAGAGAAAGGAGCAGAGAGCTTATTTGAAGAAATAATGGCTGAAAACCCTCCATATCTGAGGAAAGAAATGAACATACAAATTCAATACGCTGAAAGAACTCCAAGAAAGATAAATCCAAAGACACCCACAGAAAGACACATTACAATCAAATTGTTAAAAGTCAAAATTAGAGAATCTTGGAAGCAGCAAGGGAAAAGCAAATCATCACATACAAGGAAGCTTTCATAAGATTATCAGTGGATTTCTTAACAGAAACCTTGCAGGCCAGAAGAGAGTGGCATGAGATATTCAAAGTGATAAAATAAAAAACCATCAACCGGGCTTCCCTGGTGGTGCAGTGGTTGAGAGTCCGCCTGCTGATGCAGGGGACATGGGTTCGTTCCCCGGTCCGGGAAGATCCCACATGCCACGGAGCGGCTGGGCCTGTGAGCCATGGTCCCTGAGCCTGCACGTCCGGAGCCTGTGCTCCACAACGGGAGAGGCCACAACAGTGAGAGACCCGCGTACCACAAAAAAACAAAAAACAAAAAAACCATCAACCAAAAAAAAGAAAACAAAATCAAAAAACAACCATCAACCAAGAAAACTGTATCCAGCAAAACTATGCTTCAAAAATGCAGGGGAAAAAAAAAGTTGAGAAAGTTTATTATCACTAGGTCTGCTCTTATAAGAAATGCTAAAGGGAGTCCTTCAAGACGAAAGGATACTAGATAACAACATGAAAAAGTTTTCCAGTTAAGGTAATACATGGACACATATAATAACCTGTATTATTGTAACTTTGGTGCATAAATTCACTTTTAATTCTTATTCAGAACTTAAATGACAAAAACATGAAAAAAATAACTATATGCCTATGTTAATGGGCATATAACATATAAAGATGCAATCTATGATATCAGTAACAAAGTCAAGGGGGTGGATCTTATAGGAGTACAGTTTTTGTATGCAATTAAACTGCTATCCGTTTAAAATGGAATGTTATAATTTTAAGATGTTTTATGTAACTGCAATGATAACTGCAAAGAAAATATCTATAGAACATACACAAAAGGAAATGAGAAGGGTATCAAAGCACGTCTCTACCAAAAAAAAAAAATCAAAACTCAAAGGAAGACAGTAGAAAGGAGAGGAGGGACAAAAAGCTGTAAGACATACAGAAAACAACAAAATGGAAATAGTTCTTCCAATCTAGTGATTACTTTAAATAGCAAAATGTCAGCAAACTGAATTCAACAGCACATTAAAAGTATTATACACCATGACCAAGTGAGATGTATTCCTGGAATGCAAGGATGGTTCAATGTATGAAAACAATTCCATGTAATATACCACATTAACAGAATGAAAGACAAAACCACATGATCAATCAAGTGATGCAGAAAAAGCATTTGACAAGATTCAAACTCTTTCGAGATAAAAACACTCAACAAACTAGAAATAGAAGGAAACTACTCCAACATAATAAAGGCCATATATGAAAAGCCCACAGCTAACATCACACTCAAAGGTGAAAGACTGAAAACTTTCTGTAAGATCAGGAACAAGGATGTCTGCTCTTGCCACTCTATTCAACACAGTATTGAGAGTTCTAACCAGAGTAATTAGGTAAGAAAAGGAAACAAAAGCTGTCCAAATTGGAAAAGCTCTCTCTGTTCACATAGGACATGTAGAAAACCCTAACAATTCTACAAAAGCAATGTCAGGACTAAACAATGAGTTCAGCAAACTTGAAAGATTCAAAATCAACACACAAAAAATCAGTTGTGATTCTACATACTAACAATGAACAATCAAAAAAGGAAATAAAAAAAAATCTCATGTACAATAGCATCAAAAAAGAATAAGATACTTAGGAATAAACCGAACCAAGGAGGTGAAACATTTCTATGCTAGAAACTACAAAACAGGGCTTCCTTGGTGGCGCAGTGGTTGAGAGTCCACCTGCCGATGCAGGGGACATGGGTTCGTGTCCCAGTCCGGGAAGATCCCACGTGCCACGGAGTGGCTGGGCCCGTGAGCCATGGCCACTGAGCCTGCGCGTCCGTAGCCTGTGCTCCGCAATGGGAGAGGCCACAACAGTGAGAGGCCCACATACCGCAAAAAACAAAAAACAAATAAAACCCTACAAAACAATGCTGAAAGAAATTTTAAAAGACACAAATAAAAGGAAACATTCCATGTTCAGGGACTGGAACACACTATTGTTGTCAACAGTATACAAAGCAACCTATGGATTCAATTCAATCCCTATTAAAATCCTAATGTCATTTTTTGCAGAAATAGAAGAAAATCATCCTAAAATTCATAAGGAATCTCAAAGGACTCTGAATAGCCAAAATAATCCTGAAAAAGAATGAAGTCAGATGACACAAACTTCTTGATTTCAAAACATATTAAAAACTACAGTAATCAAAACAGTGTGGTACTGGCATAAAGACAGACAAATAGACTAATGGAACAAAAGAGAGTTCAGAAATAAAGCTCTGTATATATGGTCAAGTGATCTTTGACAAGGGTGCCAAGAACATTCAATGTGAAATGGATAGTTTCTTCAAAAAATGAGACTGGGAAGACTGGATATCCATATGCAAAAATGGGAAGTTGGAACCTTATGTCCTGGTAATGATTTCCAGGACATCTTGTTAAGGGAAAAAAGCCAACTGCAAAAGAGTTTATTTATATAGTATGTTAGCTTCTGTGTAAGAAAGAAAATGAAATAAAAAAGCATATATATATCTACTTTTCTTTACAAAAAATGGAACAAAGGAAGGATAAATCAGAAAACAACAATGTTATTTACTTACATGAGATAGGTGGAGGGCGGACTGGGTGAAATAGATATGAGAAGGAATGACACTTCTTTTAGTATACTTCTTTGCGTAGTTTTGCCTTTGGAAGCTTGTTAATGTTCTATAGATCCAAAAAATAAATCAACAAGGATGGAAGAGAGAAAAAAACCCTAAAATTAAAAGCAAATTGAAACAAATGAACCCAACTGTATTCTAAATGCATAAGAGCTAATCTGAAGGGGAGGAAAAAAGGAATCCAAGTAACTTATAAAGGGAGGTACAAAGATGAAATGAGGAAAAGCAACGAAGAATCCTGTGCAAGGGCTGAAATTAGAGGTACTGGTATAGACACTTGATTTCTTAAATATTTATTTGTGTGTACGTACAAATTTGTGTGTGTGTGTGCGCATATCCTACCTACATGCATATATTTCCTAACTGCCTGCTTTGAGGGTCTAGAAGCAAAGACATCCCAGTAAAAATATGCACATCCAGCATCCAGATCTTGGTTTCTAATACCAAGATGAACCTGACTTTCTTATTGTGCCAGTAGGAAGAAAATGCTCAAAAAAAATTATGGGTGCATGTCACAAGAACAGAGGGGCCAGCTTGAAGGGGCTACTGCTTACCAAATCTGAGAAATGTGTAAACCAAAACAATTTAGTACAATTATAAATTATAAACCACTGAAATAAACAGGAATCCGTGAGTCCACACAGAATGAATGAATGAATGAACAAATAAGGTAAAGGGAGGACTCTTGCTCATAGAATACTGAGTAACAACTAGTCAATATGGAGGAAATATAGAGAGTTGGAAAACCATCATTGTACAATAAAAACTGGCTCACAGTAAAAACTGGTTCAGATGAGAATCATCAGTTTTTGCTAAATATAAGAGGAGGTGGGGATTTTGATGAAAAGCAGGATATTTGCTGTTCTTAAAGTGTATCCTCACATATTATTCAAAGCAAGGGGAAAAAACAGTAACTCTACAGTGGAGAAACTAGACAACACCTTGTTAAGGTCATCAAAATAAACAGAAGAGAGGGACAGACGGACAACATATGCCTCTTGTTGTGGCATAACCTGAATCTAATCATGAGGAAACCCAAAATGAAATTACCAATGTCATGAGACAAAGAAAGATTGAGGAATGGTTCCAGACTAAAGGAAACTAAAAACTGAAATGTCATATAGACATAGGAAGAGAGAGCGAGAAAGTGTAAAAAGTGCAGGAGCAACCCAGCACACACACAAATAATAAAGCAAATGAGGCAGAGTATTAACAGAAGATGAATCTAGATAGAAGGTATACAGATATTCCACCATTCATGCAAGTTTCCTGTAAGTTTGAAATTATTTCCAAATAAAATGCTTAAAAAAAATTACAGAGCCTCTGAACAAGATGACATAAGTCCATGCTTTGATGAATCCCTTCTGCTATACACATATAGCAATGATAGGTAAAATATAAAATATATATATACATATATATATATATATATATATATATATGTATATATATGTATATATAGGAAAACCAAAAAGATATAGTCAGGCTGAAAACCAAGATAAACATCTCCATGAACCAGAAAAAAGAATAGAAATTCAAAGTGGTGTGCAAGGCCAAAGCCACAGGCCTGCTGGAATCTGGAAACAGACACTGGCAGCTGACAGTTCTGCTCCTATGGGGTAATTGAGACTAAAAGTGCTCCACACAAAATTTGAGATAGAAGCCAGACTGGCTAATGGTAGCTAAAGTTGCTGATGAAAAAAAGCTTGATACTTGCATGGGTTGCAAAGGGTTACATTACCCTCTACTCTGAATGCAACCTTCAAAGAGATACTGGGTCACTCACCTCTTTATTTGACAAGCACTTAATAGTTTGACAGTTTTTGGAAGAAGAAAGTTCAGTAGCATCTGCCTCCCGAGTCAAGAAAAGCAGCTTCTGGCCCACTGAGTCCAAGCATTCTAAAACACTGTACAGAAGGAAAAGAGATCAAGGTAGGAACAACAGTTTTCCATAACCCAAGAATTACTTCTCTATACTTGCACTGTCTGGTAGCCATTAGCAACGTGTGGTTATTTAAATTAAAATAAAATAAAATAAAAATTCAGTTCCTTAATTGCACTAGTCACATGTACTATAAGGTCTACATGTATGGACCTTTTAGGACAGCAAAGATATAGAACATTTCCACCATTACAGAAATCATATTGAACATTGTTGTTCTACATTTAGCGAGAGGAAGGATAAACAAAAAATATACTCAAAACTCTTTACCAAAATTTAGGCTAGATTCTAAGGATCTGAAACATTTACTATGGTATAGAGACAAACCTCTTCTGAGTCTGTTTTTTGTTTGTCTTTTTCCCAATCTGGGCAATACATCAAGGCTATAGCCGACTCTTCTAATCAAAATACTCACTAGTCTATCATCTCCCCTAATGCCACTTAGTTCAATGTATTTCAATGTCTTACTTTTTTTGTAAAGTGAGTTATTTTAAGACCAATCAATAGATTCAGAAAATTAGAAAAACAGATGCTATTTAGGGCAGTACGTGGTTTTTTTCCATCCATGGTTTTTCTAATGGAAGAATGTTACTCATATTATTGGTAAATATTTCTCAATAGACTCAAAAGAGGAAAAAAATATTCCAGGTTTTGTTATTAAATAAGAAACCAGATACTCCATTTGTCTTTGCGACCATTTAGAACTGAAAAATATTACCTTGTGTTTAGCTGCTGCACTACTTCTGCTGTATTTCTCGGCTCTAGGCCTGCTGCTTCTAGTTCTTGGTGACTAGCTAGTGCCTCCAGATTTAGTTCTGCAATCTGAAGGAAAATAAAGTGGTAAAATCATTTAATATCTTGCAAAGTATTTGAGGCTAAAAAAAAAAAGAAACCAAACAAACAAAAAAACACCCAAACCCCCCAAAAATCCAAGAAAAACCCACTCAAGTGGTGTGCTCTGTTTCTGTAGACAGTGACTTTGCTGTTGCCACAGTCCCAGGCTGGGTTCAATAGTTACCAGATGGTTTCTGGCTGCTTAGCCAAGAATGGCAATCTGTTACCAGCTGCTGATGTTGTGACATGAATATGGGAAAGGGCCAAGTAGGGCTAAGTGAAAAGCAATGGCAATTTTGGCTCATGATTCATTCCAAAGTCACTTAAAACTTACTTCTCTGCAAACATGCAACTTTTGGAAATTATAAAAGAATGGCTTTCATGGCAATATGAAAAAAAGACTTTATTGGACTAACACAAAATCATGAAAAGTATTCTAGTTTATTCTCCTTCCATAAAGTGGGAGCCCATTTGGGAGTTCTGATGTGTAGAGATACAGATACTTTTTTTACTTAGAATCATTTTAGATTTGCAGAAAAACTACAAAGACAGTACAGAGTTCCCACATATATCCAACTGCCATTTTCAACTATTATTACTATCTTAATTAGTATGGTGTATTTGACACAATTAATGAACCACTATTGATATGTTATTTTTTTTCTTTTTAAAATTTTTTATTGGAGTATAGTTGATTTACAATGTTGTGTTAGTTTCTGCTGTACAGCAAAGCAAATCAGTTATACATATACATATATCCACTCTTTTTTAGATTCTTTTCTGGTATCTTATTATTGACTAAAGTCCATCCTTAATTCAGATTTCCTAAGATTTTACTCAAGTGAGATGCAATTTTTCCTGGAAATCAAGTGGCAGCATAACAAAGTGTGGCTTCTCAAAGTGTGGCTTGAGAACTCCTAGGGGTTCCAGAGACCCTTTCAGGGGGAAGTTTGCAAGGTCCTGTCTTCTCCAACTATATAACACAACAGATTGGACGTAAAAGCAGATATGAGAGAGTCACTAGTCTCCTTAACAGGAGCTTAGTAGCTAGACATTAAAGAGATTTGCAAAATATGTAAAACAATGACACTCTTCCCATTAATTTTTTTGAAAATGCTTTTTTCCATAAAAGTACATTTTTTATGTTAACATGTAATGATTTTTAAAAATATTTTCAACAAATTAGTAAATATAATTTTTCTCATATGTAATTTCTAATATGGTAAATATTGATAGATATGACCCACAAAAACAAAAGCTCTTTGAGGATAAGTGGGTCCTGAGACCAAGTTTTTAGAACCTCAGTGCAGTGGTTTAGAGCAGGGGTTGGCATATTACAGTCATTGGATCAAGTCCAGCCCAATGTCAGTTTTTTGTAAATAAAGTTTTACTGGCCCACAGCTGTGTCCTTTTACTGACATACTGTTATAGCTGCTTTTGCACTACCAACAGCAAGTTGAGTAGCTGTGATAGAGACAGTATGGTCTGTAGAGCCTAAAATATTTACTGTTTGGCCTTTACAGAAAAGGTTTGCTAATTCCTCATGTAAAGCAAAGACAGGCTTTAGAATCTGACAGACCCTGGTTTGAATCCTGGTTCTGCCTCTAATTGTAGGACCCTCAATAAGTTATTAACCTTTCAAAACCTCTGAACGATCATATATATAATAATATCAATAGTTAACTTATAGAGTTGTTATAAGGATAAGATAATGTATATAAAGCATTTTAGAATAGTACACTTCGTAAGATCTCAGTGAATGTTGGCCATTACTCACAAGCCGCATAAGATATTTTACAATGTCTTTCTATCACCATGACACAAAATACTATTCTGGCTTTTTATTATTCTATATGGACTACCATTTATTTCATAATGGGGTCATGCTAGAAAATATCACACAATGGGATAATCTAATAGGTTAGAATGTGTTATAACACAGTCTGTCAGAAACTACAGCCTCTTCAATGCCTCCTTTATGTGCTGTTTTAATCCAGGCCCACTGAACTGCTTTTGAAACAATGATATGCTACTCACACCCCAAGAAAGCAAAAATCTATCTAGGTTTTTATAATTATCACAATTATTAGCATCAGCTACAATGAATTAAAAGTGGCATGCGGGATCTTTAGTTCCTCAACCAGGGATCAAACCCGTGCGCCCTGCAGTGGAAGTACAGAGTCTTCACCACTGGACCACCAGGGAAGTCCCTCAGCTACAATGATTAACACCACATTATGGTGCTTAATATATTCATGGCACTGTGCTAAGAGCTTTATACTACATAATATCTCATTTACCCTCACCAATATCCCAGAGAAGTGTGCTACCATGTTACAGATCTGGAAACTAAAGTTGCTCAGAGAAATTGCCCTAGATAGCATATAGCCAGACCTATTTAAAAACAAGGAAGTCCAACTTCAGAGACTACATATTTAACCACTACATGAGGCTAGTGATACAGGTCTTAATTTCAAATACATGTTCACCTTGAATTACACTGCCATTTTTGTAAAGAAAGGTAACAGCAGGATATGGTGGTCTGTGACTCTGTTCTAGTCTCATAATTTTAAGGAAAGCAAAGGTACTAACCTTCTTTGGGCCATATTTGAGGAAATACCGAGCCAATTCAAGGGCTGTTCTAGCATCTTCTGTGGCATCATGACCAAACCTATCTGGACACTGTATATCCTTCCTGGAAAGTCAAGGTAAAATTGACATAACTGGGAGCATTTTTAATGATAGAGTCTTTCATACCAAATATTCTGGCTACATGTAGAATTTCAGCATTCTAGTAATTAGATTTGAGTCACAATCAAGATTCCTTTATTACTTAGTGCCAGGACCTGAAAGGTACTGAGGGTACAGAATGATCAGGAATGGCTTTGTTTACAGCAAGCATATCATCAAAGGCTACTCAATAAAAAGTCTCTGGTCCACTCCCCAACCAACCCCTTGTCTCACTTTTTAGACGTAGCTGTTGTTTTAAAGTTACCTTCCAGAAATTTTCTATTATATATTTAAAAATCCTTTGTTTTTTAAAATCTTAAAAAATACATATGTTTATGTCTATAGATACGTCTAAATCTAATCTACATCAATCAATATCTCAGTATCTACGCATCTTGTTCTGCATCTCCATTTTGTTCTCAGTAGCATCTTAGAGGTCCCCTTATTAGCACATAAAGATCTAACAAAGTATTAGTCACGCAGATAACCATAATTTATTTAACTAGTCCTGTAGAATATCTGAATTCTTTTGGGCTATTTTAAATCATACTATAATGAATATCTTTGTACAATATGTGTTTGTACATGATACATTCAATATAGGAACGCTGTTTTGAAATTTTGGGTAACTTTTCTGCCTCTTCTCTGTCTAATTCTATCCATCAACCTTCAGCTATGAATGCAACTCCTGTTTGTATTCCCACAGTTTTTTCATTTCTGAGTCATAATTCTCTCTGAAGTTAGGATCTCAGAATTCATAATAATGTTTATAAACTAAGAAGGAAAGGAGAGAGGCTGAACGTTGCAATATGCATTAAATAAGATACAATATTCTAACTTATGTCCAGTCTATCAGGACAATATTATAATATGCAAACAAACCTACCCCAAAATAACTTTGGCTAAGAACTTGAGCTTAAATCTTCTGCCCTGCTCTCTGACATAAAGCAATGATGTATCAATAACATATGGATGTATCATCTGAGAAGGAAAGAGAATAGAATGAGTAGCATCCTATGCTGAAGGAAAAAACAGGTGGGTTGGGGGACAGAAGGCTTTAGATCTGAGATTAATGAAACAGGCACATATGCTAGATAAACTAAGTCCTAAATCAGATACTCACTTTCAGTGCTCTGAGATCTAAGTCTAAGGAGTGGCCCACTAACACAGCGTTGGGAGGAAGCAGTGCTTTTAACTGTCTCTGTACATCTTTGAGTTTGGTTGTCACTGGGTTAAGAATCTTCTTTGTGATTCCTGAGAAACTTTCAATAAAAAAAGAGAAATGGACAGACCAGGATATTAATAAGCTTTCCTCCCCCGAAAGTCATTTCAAAAAGAATATTTTAAAAAATAAAAAATTAATAAATGCTCAGTGTAACAAGGTTGAAAATCAAATAACAAAGAAGAAATTAAAAACTGCCAGGCTTCCCTGGTGGCACAGTGGTTGAGAGTCCGCCTGCCGATGCAGGGGACACGGGTTCATGCCCCGGTCCGGGAAGATCCCACATGCCGTGGAGCGGCTGGGCCCGTGAGCCATGGCCGTTGAGCCTGCACGTCTGTAGCCTGTGCTCCGCAACGGGAGAGGCCACAACAGTGAGCGGCCCACATACCGCAAAAAAAATAAATAAAAATAAAAATAAATAACCTGCCCATAATCCCACCACCCAGAGATCATTTTTTACACTTTGGTAAATATTGTATCATATTTTTTGATACATATGTATTCATGTATATGTTTATTTTTATAATCATGGGAATTCCCTGGCAGTCCAGTGGTTAGGACTCCATGCTTTCACTGCCATGGGCCTGGGTTCAATCCCTGGTCAGGAAACTAAGATCCCGCAAGCCACATGGTATGGCCCAAAAAAAAGGAATCATAATGCCTATGCTACTTTATAATATGATCATAACATGTGCTATATATCATGAACAAGTTTTCACATCAATAAATCTATTTCAGCACATCCTTTTAAATGGTTAGTACTCCATTAGATGAATATAACATTCTAACCAACCCCTTACTTTCATTCATATTCCCATGTTTCTGCAACAGTATGACAAATACCCTTATACATACATCTTTGTCACATACGACTGTTCCTTAAAAATACTGTCTAATTGTCATGTCGGCCAACAGGAGTCTTTATCACCATCATGGCCTCTCTGTGCCTAAGTAAGCATGAACTGATAGGTGCAACTACAATGGGCAGCAACAGTAATGTTTCACTGGCTTTTCTTTGCCTAATCAGTGTAGTGTGTACATTCTGAAATTACTTGCTAATCTTCGGAAAGACAGAGAAAATTTTTTGAGCTTCAAATTTCTGTTGTGGAAACACTTAGTTTTGTTTTGGTTTCTGAGGTCAAGGCAGATTAAGCTCTAAAATCATCTGACTGCCAGAAGATGATTTACAGATTTTTCAGATGGTGTCTCATCAGACAGCAAAGCTGTTTGGCAGTTACTAGGTAACGATTACAACTGTCAGATTCAATGACAAGGAAGATAATATTCTGGTGACCTAGGTCACAGGAAGATTAGAGAGCAAGAAAGGTAAGAGCATTATACACCGATATTGTGTAATTTCAGTATTAAAATTTCTAGTTGTGGCACCCCAGCCTTTTCTTTGATAATAAATAAGTAGATAATACCTAACTAAACAGAAGCTACAGGCTATTCCTGTTAAGTCTCATTCCACTCTAGCGAGCTGGAAGCAGGGTGAAAAATACCTGGTGAGGTAGTCCACAATCTTGTTGTCAGGTTTAACAAGTTCATCCATAACACAGCAGCCTCCTTCAGCAACCAGTGATATGCGTGTTAGTTCTCGCCCCTTGGATGTCAGGCACTGAAAGACCAGGATGTAGATAGGCTGCTAACCTGTGGAAACTCTTGCTTCCTCTCATTATTCAAGACTACATCAACTGCCACCTACTCTAATCTACTCTGCGACAATGGCACAGCCTTTTGCTGACTAGCGAATCCAATATGAATGAAATTAAAGCTAAGCAGGCTACTGAACATTACACTTAAAGTAACCAACACAGTACAATTTCTCTGGGAAGGATGTGCCCGAGAGGGACAGAAATAATAACATCAATTATAATTGTACTATTTACTGTGTACTACAACCCAGTATTATGCTAAGTACCAAAAAAATAATTTTTATTAGCACACTCTATTATCTAACACAATACTAAGCATTTTATATACCACCTCATAATAACCCCATGAAGTAGCCCCTAATATTATCCCTGCTTCACAGAGGGAGAATTAGGGAATTTGTCCAAGGTGACAGGCAAGGCCAGGATACACAACCTGATACGACAGACTCCAAATCCTTAGCTCTTAGCCACTCTGTTCAGTGTCGAGAAACTGTTACTTGAGTACTAAGTGAGAGGGGATACACTGCCTCTGAAAGGAGACTTACTAATTAGACAAAGTAAAACACAAGGGGAGCTTAAGCAGGAAAATCCTACTTCTGATCTTAAACGCGTAAAACTAAGCCAAACCAATGGTAATTCAGGCAAAGTCTTCAAGGCAATAACAACAAAACACTTGTTCAAAAGACAGAAGCAATCAACTTCTAGTAATATTCAAAAATTAGATTAAATATATCAACTAGTTAGAAAACTTATGTGATATTTATTTCTCATCCTGGAGTAAAGATCCAATTTTTCTAAAATGTAATTAAATGGGTCTACTTTCAGTTATTTAAACTGAATACTAGAACTGAACGCACTCAAGAAAACTAGACCCTAGCTTGCAACACTCCAGCTGAAAAATCAGAAGTAGTACTTACCATTTCACAGTCAAGCCCAAAGAGAGGACTGTTGTTGGTTATAGAACCACAACATTTTATAGGCACAAAGTTTTCACAGTCAGGAAAACCTAGGAGGAAAAGGAATAAAATATTTGCCTTTAGAACTAGAAATGGTAAAAATTACTCCTGTATTTATCCAGGGGAAACTGAGATACCACATTTGTGGGGACCTTCTCTATGTTAGACACTTGAAATATAAAATTAAATAAGACAATTTCTGTCCTTAATTTTTTCTCCATCTACTCATTTTTACATTTTGGGAGAATAATGTAGGCTGCTGTTAGTGGAGATACTAGGGCCTAGACTTCCTTGCAGTTACCAAGTAACAATTTTTTCCTCCTTATTAGAAATTATAATTAAATTGTGGCTAAATCCAAAGTCACCGGACCTTTCTCATGTAGGCACTAAGGAAGGATGAATAAAGTATGCAAATGACTGCATGTGGCATCTTTCTTTCCTAAATAAAACAAGAAAAAGTACGAATGAGATTCCACCATAGCAGAGATCTAAAAGGATTTCATGGTAGGCAGAATGTTTAACATTCACCATATGCACTCTTGTACTCAACTCTACCCTTAAAATTTCTCCAAGACCTCTCTTTAGAAACGTGCCTCATTTTCTGGAATCATAGCCTGAAAATTCCCTACAGAGGCTCAGATATAGGCTTAAGGTATCCCTTCCATTGTGTACCCTAAGTCAGTAACCAGGCACATTCAGTTCAGAGGCCCAAAAGTGTCTGAATCATTGAAGATTCCTACCTTCAGACAGAGGCTGAAACAGTAAAGATAATACCTAGATCTTATTTGACAAGAAACTAAGGGGAGTATGAAAAGCTTTGACCAGTTTCTATGTCACAGTACCCTGAAATTTCCAACTGATTACAATTAAAAGAACCAAAATACAGTCTAGACCAGAAAGGAGTACCCCCAAATCCTGGAGACATTATACTTGCTGCCCTCCTTATCTATATTATTAGTACCAATAATAACAAAGAATAACTTTTTAAAGCACTGTGTGCCCCATGCTAAGCTCGTTTTGTACATTAACTCAATTAATCCTCATGGCAATACTATGATATATGAACTATTAACTCCCCAAAGACAGCCCAATTAAGAAACAGACAAAGGATCTGAAAAAATATACAAATGGCCAATAAGCATATAAAAAGATGCTCAATATCATCAGCCATCAGAGAAATGCAAACGAAAATCACAATGAGATACTACTTCACACACACTAGGATGGGTATAATCAAAAAGGCAAAGCATAGCAAGTGTTGGTAAGGATGTACAGAAATTGGAACCCTTATACATTGCTGGGGGGAATGTAAAATGGTGCACCTGCTTTGTAAAACAGTCTGATAGTTCCTTAAAGGTTAAACATAGAGTTACTATAGGATCTAGCAGTTCTACTCCTAGGTATATACTCAAGAAAAATGAAAACATATGTCCACACAAAAACTTGTATCTGAATATTCAAAGTAGCATTATTCATAACATCCCCGAGGTGGAAACAACCCAAATGTCATCAACTGATGACTGGATAAATAAAATGTATAACCATACATGGAATATCATTAGAATGAAAATAAATGAAGTAATGATACATGCTATAACACGGATGACCCTTGAAAATTTGATGCTAAGTGAAAGAAGCCAGTTACAAAAGACCACATATTGTATGATTCCATTTATATTCACAATAGGTAAATCTATTAACAGAAAGTAATTAGTAGTTGCCTAGGGCTAAAGGGCACTGGGGGGAAACGATAGTACAGGGTTTCTTTTGGGGTGATGAACATGTTCTAAATTGATTGTAGTGATGGTTGAAAAACTCTGTAAACATACTAGAAACTACTGAAATTGTATACTTTAAATGGATGAACTGAATGGTAGGTTAATCATAACTCAATAGGGCTTTTTTTTTTTTTTTAAGGAATTTTAACATGACTGCTGTGATTAAGAGGTAATAAATCAAAGGATTTTTATTAAATTCTTGCTACATAACACACCAAGGCTCTGAGCCTAGACTTGTCCTATTTATTAAAGAAAATGGGGGTGGGATGGATGGGAGCAGGATTAGAAGTACCAGAGAAGTGTTAAAGTTTTAAAGACATATTGACTTCTTTTCAATATACTAAGGAATGAAAGAAAAATGAAAAAGGAATAATTTTCCCACAATATTTAAGGTCATGTTCATGTACTGCCTAAAATCAATAATGGTACACATCCTCCACTTTAGGAAACATTGCACTGAAAGTATTTCCTCTTTAGTAGAAGATGGAATAAATCACTTGGAAAGCAGCCCATAAAAATGAACTTTCAACAGGAATATTTTTAAATAAATTGATAGATATTCTTCCATTGTTACCAACATCAGGTTAAATCTAAACCAACCTTGTAACGGAAAGTGATATGTTTTCATTTCCTCCTTTGTGAGAAGGCATCTGGTCAAGCTTACTTTCTTAGAGCCATACTTTTTAACGATGGGGTCATTCTGCAGGTTGATGCTGACTTCTGAGCTGGAAGAAGGTAAAGACCCTGAAACAAGGACAATCATACATATGTTAGAATCTGTGTTTAACAGCCCTCAGAGGACATGTCCTTTTAATGTTGTATAGGGTAAGCATGATGAAGATCAAAAGATTTTTAAGACCCAGCCCCAACTTTAAAGGAGCTTGCACTCTCATACACTTATAAAGAACACAAAGAGAAAATAAGTCTCAAATGGGTTATAATAATAAAAGCTATAAAAGGCAAAGGGAGAATATACTGGCTGAGATGGTTAGAGATGGTTCAAGAGAAGAAAAGATTAGCTGAGTCTTAAAGAAAAGGCAGAATTCAGATATTTGGTGTATTAGACCAGTCCGTTAGTGTCTGCCACTCCTAATAGCCCATTCTAGCTAAATCTACTGCACCCCTAACCACCTGGCTCAAGCACCAGCAGGGGTGCTGGTTCTTTAAGTAGGGCTCGTTACTGATTGGATTAAGAGTGGGGACTTGGCTAAAGAGGGAGCTATCTATAAACTGACCAGTGACTTGATATTCCTTGTCAAGACATGCTCAAAAGGGACAAGGGTAATTAGCTAAGCTGATCAGATTGCTTGCTCCCAGAACTGAACTAGGAAATAAAGAGAACACACCAGTTAGAACAGAAAACAAAGAAGCTAAGATGCCATGAAAGGGATGGAGAACAGCTCTTCACCAGAGGCATTTAGATTCTTGATGACTTTCCAGTCCACATGTCCTTCAAATAATACCCTCTCACTTAAGATGGCCTCAGTGAGTGCCTGGTCCTTGCAAACAAAAATGCCAAAGAATCAGAAGTAAGGAAAGAGGGCATCCCAGGTAAGATAGAAATGTACAAAGCAAACTTGGTATGGTAGTGCCTAGACCAGTCGGGGAGAAAAAAGGTCTTTGTAGAAGAGCAGTATAAGAAACAAGGTTGAAAGAGGAGGATAAAAGTGAATTGTAGACCACTGCGAATGCCAGGCTCAAGAGTTTGAATTTTAGTCCATCATTTCATATATAAGGTGGAGCAACAGAAAGTTCCTGAGAAGGGAAGTGGCATAACCAAACAGTACTTTAAGAAAGATCAACCTCAAAGATATGTGGAAAATGAAGTAGAGAGAGAAATGAGAAATGACTTTGCAATAATTCTGGCAAAAAAAAAAGAGTCTGGATTAAGATGATGGAGGGAGGAAAAAGGTTATAAGAAAGAAACATTACACAAGAAAAACTGGTAGAGGGACTTCCCTGTTGGCTCCCAATGCAGGGGGCGCGGGTTAAGACTGCACTCCCAATGTAGGGGGCCTAGGTTCGATCCCTGGTCAGGGAACTAGATCCCACATGCATGCCTCAACTAAGAGTTCTCATGCCACAACTAAGGAGCTCCCAAGCCACAACTAAAGGAGCCCACCTGCCACAACTAAGGAGCCCACAAACCGCAACTAAGACCCAGCGCAAACAAATAAATATTTTTTTTAAAAAAAGGAAAAACTGGTAAAGCATAGTGACAGAGTAGTTCAGTTCAGTCAACAAAATATTTACTGAGTACTTATTATATGCCTGGTATTGCTCTAGCCAGTAGATTCCCCAATGAACAAAATCAACAAAATTCTCTTAAATTCTAGGTGATCTTAAATTCTAGTTGGGAAGATGGACAATAAACAAACAAATACATAATATAGCAGGTGAGGATAAGGACTATGGAGAAAAGTAAAGGAGAAAAAGGAGGAAAGGGAGTGCTGGGGCAGGAAAAGGGTTAATGTCATATATTTTATAACCAGGGAAGGTCTCTCTGATAAAGTAACATTTGAATAGGTTCTTAATAGCAAAGGGAATGAGCCATGAAGATTGGGTATGGGGAGCCAAAAGAAAAGTAATTCTAAAATTCAATACTGGTGGCTTAGAGAAAAACAGTACCAACAGAAAAGGGGATTTGAAGTTGGGAGTCTGTTATTTAGGGATGAGAAAAATGCTTTTATATATGCTATGATTGAGGGTACAGTGGAGTATCCAGGTAGCAACATCCAGCAGGCAGTTGAAAATGCAGGCCTGGAGTTTGGGATATCAAACCTAAAGACAGAGGAGTTATCCACAGAAGAGTGATGGATAAACTGGGGAAGAACAGATGAATATTTCAAAAGAGAACTGAAGAAAGATCAAAGTATATGGACTATATCTTGGGGACTTCGATATTTATTTAGGTTGGGAAAATGAAGCAAAATCCTTAGGAGGACAGAGAAGTAGCTATAACCCTCTAGCTCCTCAATGCTTACAGGATAAAATCCAAAGTCCTTAGCATAGCATTTACAGCCTGCAAGACAAAGTTTTAACCTACCTCTAAGCCTCATCTCTCACCACTACCTGCCCTCTTATTCCATCTCCACCCCCTAATCATCCTCAACAATCTATATTCTTCAGTCACATCAATTTCTTTTTTCTGATTACATCCTTTCTTTTACAGCTCAATGTCTTTACCTGAGTTTTGAATCTCATAATGACTACTCTGTGATTCACTCAAAGATGTTTAAAATACAGTGGATGTCAAATTAAACAAAGCTGCAGGTCCGATATAGACATCTATTAGAAGGAAAGGGGAACAATGGAAAGGTAGGAAGTTAGAAGCTTTTGAGACAGAAGATAACAGGAAACACAGTCATGGAGGATATGGAAAGGAATCACTAGTTATTCCTCACCACTTTTTCATGTCCCCTCAGTGCAACTATTCAATAATTTAATTATTTCTGAACAAACATACAAAAAGCATTATTGAACAATACTTACCTTACTATGTGCAATGAACTGTTAAGGTCTATTCCATCACTCACCTCCTCTCCCCGCAAAAGAGAAGGTCAGCTATAACTTGCTAACAGGACACAACCCAGTTTGAAAAACACTGCTATCATGGATATTTATACTTTAGCTGGCCAGCATCCTAATCTGCCACTGTGAGTAGTATTAGTGAGTATCCCCTACATTAGTCAAAGGCAAGACCTTCCTTCCTATGTGTACACTTGTGGGTACAAAGACCCAGTGACAGTTTGAGTCCAGTGTCAGTGATATCCAGGGAGCAGACTTAGCTATCTAACCTAACCAAATGACTTCTGAGGCACGAACCCTGGTTATGTTTCCTGCTATCTAATCCGCCTTGGTACTTACCCATTTTTTCCTTAAAACACACACACACACACACAAAATTGCTTTTCTGCTTAAGTTACTTATAGTCATACCTTCCATTCCTTTAGGCAGATCCCCAATTATTTGTTTCTTTTGCAGCCCAATGATATCAGCTAGGAAATCAGATGATGGGGGAGGCAAGCAGAACTTCTGAAAATACATAATAGGTTTTTACAAAAATGCTTGAAAACAGTTAAAATACTGTCACCTAGACTTTTATTGTCAGCTCAGTGCTATGAAAGATCTGGACCTTAATTGTTTGCATTGTAAAATGAGGACTGTTTCCTTAAGTTGTAAAAGTGACTAAATAAGTGAAGCCATATTTATCCTACCACAGTTTTCTTTGCTTCTCTAATTACACACTATACAAAAGAAACAAACATTACAAAAATGTATAACTTAGAAAAGCAAAGTTCCTTATATTTTTCAAAGCACTTTCATATGTATTACTTTAGTGGATAACATGCCAGGTAGATGACACAGAAAAGCAAAGAGATTGAGAGTTCAAGTCTCAGGCTCACCTGGGCTTCAATTCCAGCTGTAAATTCCACTTACTAGCTGTAACTTGGGTGCGTTACTCAGTTTCCTTATGTATAAAATGGGAATAAAAAAGTATCTCTTGGGGCTTCCCTGGTGCAGTGGTTGAGAGTCCGCCTGCCGATGCAGGGCACACGGGTTCGTCTCCCGGTCCGGGAAGATCCCACATGCCGCGGAGCGGCTGGGCCCATGAGCCATGGCCACTGAGCCTGCGCATCCAGAGCCTGTGCTCCGCAACGGGAGAGGCCACAACAGTGAGAGGCCCGCGTACCGCAAAAAAAAAAAAAAAAAGTATCTCTTATAGGACTATTGTAAGAATTAAAGATGATGCATACAGTATGACTAATATAGGGCCTAGCACATAGGTAGTGTTCAATAAATGAAAGCAAAAAAAGAAAATGGAGACCCAAGGGGGTTAGGTTAGGGCTCACCAATTCAAATGCTCTCAGGGGTAAATGGATGAAACAGTCTGATAAAGAATGGAAGAGGCTATGGTAAAATGGAGAGCACATGCCTTTCTAAAGACAGCTGCTATTCAGCTCCAGATACTGTTTTAAGGGAAACTAATCTTGTGATGTTGTCAAAAGAAGCCAAAATATATAGGTTTTATGTAAATTTTACAATTTTTGAAAACACCAAAGCCCAAATAAAATGTGACAATATCAACTACAATCTGGGAACTAGACTGCAATCTGGGATTAAGGGTTTTGCCTAGATTACCAAAGAAAAAAATGAGAGAGAAATCTAATTTCAACAATCTAATCTCAGGTATCAAGCGTAATCTTTTTAGCTTTCTACAACTTCTATTGCTTGTTCAATCAGGTTGCCAAGGAGCACAATTTGAGACATGTGCACTAATCTCTGAGTGTGAGGACCTGACTCAGGTCCGAATACAAAGTTTTCTTAACTTACGTGTCTGAATGCCTTTCGGAGAAGCCCAAACTCCAAATAGAACCTGTAAAAGTGTAGCTGACTCATTCCCTGCAGTATAACAACCACCACGTTGTTCAGGTGGTTTTGGTGAAAAAGTTGGCACCAGCTGTTGAAAAATAGAACCAACAAAGCTAAGACTGATACCGTCAAGTCAGTTACAGACATACAGAAGGGAAGTATGAAAAAAGCACTGAGCAACAGATATTGGAGTTTATCATCACTCACTGACTGCCTGGAAACGGAGAACAGCTATTACTGCACAGAATTCAAATAAAGATCTCTTGAGATTATTATTTATTCCATTCAAATCAAGTATAATACCAAGTGAAACACAATGCATTCAAATCCAAAATCCTATTAAGATTTGCTTTAAATTGGAACTAATTAAGCTCAGTTTACAAAGGCATATCTTCAAGATCCAAATCTGCTCTACAGTCCTTCCTAAGCCAGTAACGTGACCGGCTTCCAGAAAGCCAGTTCAGATAAAGTGACAGAGCAATGATAGTATCTGTTAAGGCAGAAGCGGGCTTTTGAGGTTTGTAGCCACTCCACCCCCAGATGGAAGTGTACATATGAAAATCTCTCTACTGTGTATTGGTACATACAGAAATGCAATTTTCATTAGACATTTAATAATGGCATTGAGGATATCAGAACAGTAAAATTCTCTTTGCCCTTGATTTGTAAAAGAAGAAAAAAGATTGGGATTCTTAATACATGATCATGTTATTTCAATCAGGTCTCCACTGGAGGTTATAAACAAAATACCTATAGCAGCCAGACAGATACTGTAAATAAGGGAAGCAGGCCAGGTGGGACACTGAAGTGTACATCTATAGTAGGAGGCCACTATTCAGCTTCAACAAATTGTTGCCATAGGGACAGCTGCCAGAGTTTTTCGAAGTAAAAAATATGGATATAAAGGGATTCCCAATTTAAATTGTTGGCAACTTTGTAAAAAAAAATTTAGGACATTCCGTGTGGCAAATAAAAAACGTCAGGTAGACATGGTCCTCTAGATACCAATATGAAACCTCAGGTCTATACCCACCATTTATGTTCTTCTCATACCTAGGTTTAGGAACACTGGATTTGCCCAGAACTGCATACTTCAGCAATTCACATAGCTGGCCATGAGTTATTTCACGGGTATCAGAAAGTAAAATGGTAGATAAGCAGGCTTTCTGCAAAGATAAATCAGAGTATAACAAATTATGATTATAAAGAACATCAAAAAAACACGGCAAATTTTTAAATATTCTAGTTTCTATTATTTTAGCATACTCTAAACATAAGGAGGGTTCTTACTAATTAGAAATGAAGGTCTAAAACAACCACCTGTGATATGACATTATTAATAGGATATTTAATAAACACCGATACAGAACCTTAATTATAGACACTTGGTTATGTGCTAGGGATAGCAGGATGAATAAAACATGACTCATGCTCTCAAGAAGTCCATTCTACTGGGGGAAAAATGCAGAAACAGGTAATTCCAATATAATGTGGGTGCTACTATAAAGGTAAGGGAGCAAAAGAGGCTAACTAACTGCCTTGGGGATTGGAGAGTTTTGGAGATAGCATCACTGAGATGAAAATAATGGAGTTGAACCTTGAAAATAATGAGTCAGCCAGGTAGGAGGAAACACTGTGTCTAAACACTTAGTTTGGTTTGGCTGCAGTCAAGACTGCACGTTGCAGAGCAATAGAGATATGAGAGAAGAGAGAAGTGGGAGCCAGTTCATAGATGATCAATGTGGTCTAACCTAAGGAGTCAGACTTTAAGTCTCTCCTTAAAATAGCTTTGTACTTAGATATAGTTATTAAAGTAATTCATGCTTGTTAAAAAAGTCAGATAATAGAGAAGGGTAAAACAGATAAAACACAACAAATAAGTGAAAATAAGTCACCTGTATTTGTACAATTCAAGTACAAGTAATACCACTTTCATTTTGGTCTGGGAGGCAGCAGAGTAATAGTGGTTAGGAGCTCAAGCCCTGGAATCACGCTACCTGAGTTCAAATACCAAGCTCTACCATTTTTTTTTTTAATTATTTGGCTGCGTCGGGTCTTAGTTGCAACATGCAGGATCTTCGTTGCAGCATGTGGGATCTTTCATTTTGGCGCACGGGCTCAGTAGTTGAGGCACACAGGCTCTCTAGTGGCGGGCAGGCTCTAGAGTGCGCAGGCTCAGTAGCTGCAGTGCGTGGGCTTAGTTGACCTGCAGCATGTGGGATCTTAGTTCCTGGACCAGGTATCAAACCCACGTCCCTGCACTTGAAGGCGGATTCTTAACCACTGGACCACCAGGGAAGTCCCCCAAAGCTCTACCATCTTAAGTGCCTTAAGGTGTTAAGAGCTTAGGGGCAAATGCCTTGACCTCTCTAAGACTAAGGTCTTTTCATTTATAGAATAACTACAATTCTACCTCATGAGATTACTGGGAAGAGCAATGAGGTACATTGTAAGTGCAATGTACTGAGGCCAGTGTCTGACATACCCTAAGATAAGTACTTAAACACCAGGTATTATTATTATTATTATTGCTATTTTCCCCTGTGACTGTTTAAAGCTAATGTTGAACACTTATTATTAGTCATTTACAGTTCTGAGCACTTTATACCTATTAAATCATTTAATTCTTAAGTCTTCTCAAGTGGGCACTACTGTTATCCCCATTTTACAGATAAAGAAATGGAGGAACAGATAAGTGGCAGAACCAAGACCAGAATGCAAGCTACAGATAAAGAAATGGAGGAACAGGGGCTTCCCTGGTGGCACAGTGGTTAAGAATCCACCTGCCAATGCAGGGGACACGGGTTCGAGCCCTGGTCCGGGAAGATCCCATGTGCCGCGGAGCAACTAAGCCCGTGCACCACAACTACCGAGCCTGCGAACCACAACTACTGAGCCCGTGCACCTAGAGCCCATGCTCTGCAACAAGAGAAGCCACTGCAATGAGAAGCCCGCGCACCATAACAAAGAGTAGCCCCCGCTCGATGCAACTAGAGAAAGCCCGTGCGCAGCAATGAAGACCCAACGCAGCCAAAAATAAATAAAATAAATAATAAAAAATAAAATTAGAAAAAAGAAATGGAGGAACAGATAAATGGCAGAACCAAGACTAGAATGCAGGCTGCAAAGCCCAAACTCTTTTCATCTCTACTTTATACGTTTCCCAAGGGATTATACATTACATTGTTTTGTAACCAACTCCTGCCACCGAGAAAAAAAAAAAACTGGGGCGTTCCCTAGCAGTCCAGTGGTTAGGACTAGGCGCTTTCACTGCCATGGCCCAGGTTCAATCCCTAGTCAGGGAACAGAGATCCCGCAAGCTGCGTAGCATGGCCAAAAAAAAAAATAATCTGTAAATATCTTTCCATATCTGTTAAACATAACAAAAGTCAATTTTAATAATAGTCCACTCTTTCAATTTACTTAAAACATAATTTATTTGAAAAAAATTCCCTATTGATGACACTGTTGTTTTCTAAAAAATTATGAACAGTATTATGATAAGCATCCTTGTACACCTATTTTCTCAGGATAAATTCCTGGTCAAAATAAGCATGTATATCTTATATTCTGATAATATTGCTAACTCCTGAAAGAATATACCAATTTATATTTACCAAACAAAACTGTATGATATTGATAATGTATGAGTAAGGAATCTATATGGCAGTGAGTAATCATGGTTGCCAAACATGCGATGTCAGAGGCTGAGCAGGGTGAGGAGGGCATCCTATAGGGGAGAAAGCCCAGGACTAGGGGTAGGAACCCAGGATATATATGCAGGACAGTGGCCCAATGTGAAGTGTCAAAGCCTGAGCGGTATGAGGAGGGCATCCATGCAGTGGCAACTGGAGAGCAGTTAGGCTGGCATCAGATGTCAGAAATTGTTTACAGTAAGGAGGGCATCAATGCTGAAGGAAAAAGAGGGCTGTCACCGAATTCAAAGCCTGAAAAGGGTGCAGGTGTCCGTGTGAGAAGGATGAGGGTAGTAGCTTGTCACAGCAGCAATGAAGGCATTCAGATAGGAGAGTGACCTGGTATAAGACGCAGAATGACAAGGGCCCAAGCAGGGTAAGGAAGGTGTGAGGGTGTGGGGCAATGGCAGCAATGGGGGACTGATCAAATATATTGAAGATAATGGGAGTCAGGTTTCTCACTGTTATATAAGGAAGTTATAAATATGAAAAGGGAGAAAACTAGAATGAACCCTGTGGAATTGGATTGGAAGTAAAGATACTGATATGAATTCAGTTTTTCAATATGTATACAGAAAAATATTTAAATGTAAACATACGTATGTGTGTATAAACATATACACACATACTACCTAGCTCTCTTTTTGGGAGTAGTGACATACCAATAGCAATAAACACATCTAACACCCAGATCTTGATTTCTAAATGTCACTCTCCACTAAAAAGAACTAAGTCTCCTGGCAGAAGTAGCCGATTCCAGGGCTGGGGCAGGGAAAGCACAGAAGAGTCTGGAACATTTTTTTGTGCCAGAAAAATAAGGGAATGCTCAAGCATGATGGGGTCATGTTAAAGGGACACAGAAGCTAGCTTAATGGCCAAATCTGGGATATTTTGAGCAGCAAAATACAGTAATGGATTATAACTCAATGAATAAAATAGGTATCCACAAATTCATACTAATAAAAAAATGAATAAACTGCAATGAGGAAGTTAATGAGGTTAATGAAGTTAATGAAGTTAATGAGGAAGCATCTTCCCACAAAACAACAGAGAAAAAGAGTAACTTTAGAGAAGTTTAGCACACACGTTCTTAATCAAGTTATCAAGGTTAACATCACCAGTAATGGGACAAATCAAACTTGTGTACAACCTGATAAAATACAAGAGAACAGAATGTCACTTCTGTGATATTCCTGCCAAAGATGTACAATCTGAATCTAATTAATGAGGAAACAAACAAACCTAACTTCTACAAAATAACTGGTCCAGGATTCTTCAAAGGTAGTAATGTCACAAATGTCAAAGAAAAGACTGAACAGTTGTTTGGACTGAAGGAGACATGACAACTAACTGTAACACGTGATTCTAGACTTGATCTTAATGCTAAAAAGGACATTATTAGAACAACTGGAGAAACTTGAATGGGGTCTGAGTATTAGATGGTAGCAATATATCCATGTTACTTCCTGATTTTGATGGTTGCATTTTAGTTATGTAGATTGTTTGTAGGAAATATGTAAACACTAAAATATGGGTGGGGGGAGGCATTCTGTTAGCAACTACAGTACTTTCAAATGTTGGCTGGGGGGTAGTTTTTGATACTGTCCTTGCAAATTTTCTTTAAGTTTGTTTCAAAATAAAGTGATGAGACTGTCAACTTCTTTTGACTTTCTACCACGTTAACCTTTAAAAAATTGCTTTGCCAATCGGATAGGCCAAAAAAAAACGAAAAAGGAATCCCATTTTAAAAAGTTTTCATAGCACTAATTCCCTTCTATATAACTGATTTATCATTATCTATTGTTTATCTTCTTTCTCTCTCCACTAGTAAAGGTAGTAGTGATCTCTGTTTAATCACTGATGTACCCCAAGTGCCTAGGAAGACAATAGAAATCTGATGACTAAAGGGATGAAAGGCATTATTTAGCTCTCAATAAATGGCAGAGATGATCATCAGTCTTATTCCCCTATGGGAATGTAAACTGCACGAGTGCAGGGGATTTTGTGCTTTTATGCACTGGGATACTTCCAGAAGCTAGAGCAATTCCTGGCATACAGAAGACTTCAATAAATATCTGTTGAACGAACATTCTTCTCGTGTGCCAGGCACAATACCTGTTTTAAACCGCCAATATCAGCCCTAAGGTATGTGGTATTGTATTATCATTTGGGAGCTCCAAACTGCCTCGGGCCGCCCATTCGGGATCCCCCGTTGCTCACCTTGGCCTCGGGCTGCTGCCTCTCCTCAAGATCCCAACGGTCTCTCATCACCTCTGACGCCCCGACCAGCTTATTCGGGACCCGCCTCCTCTTCCTGCCCTTCTTGGGGGTCCTCCCGGTCCTTTCCTTCTCTGGCTCCATGAACCTGTGGAGAAAGATCGGTTAGAGATGCGAAAACCACGACGCGCAGATGGCCCGGGCCGTCTCCTGAGTGGGGAGCACAAGGGTTTCGACAGCCTACAACCCTCCTCAGATCCTCTCCTTAATTCAGTTTACGAAGTGCTCCCCGCCCCCCTCGGAAAGGGAGGGTGCCAACGGTCTTCCCCGTTAACGCGGCAAAGAAAACCACGCCGCACCAACCCAAACGGTTTTACAGTTGACGCCGGAGGCCGGATTCGATACGCTTCCCCAACCGCAAACGCGCCTCCGCCTGTTGGAAAAGAGGGAAGGGGGAGCGCTGTCTTCCCTGCCAAAACCACTCCCCACGCCCCAGATTCCCCGAAGACGCCGAAGAGAAGCAGGGCGGAGAACACCGACAAACACCGCCGCTGCCTCAGCCTCCGGCGGAGCCGACGGTGTAACGCCCTCCGCAGCGGCGCGCAGCTTTTGAATGGACCGGAAGAGGAAGTACAGCGACTTCCGGCAGTTGGGCTGTGAAGAGAAAGGAGCGTCGGGAATGGCAACCAAGAGGCTTGCGCGGTACGCTATGGGGGCTCCGGGCGGCGGGGGGGGTCGGTCCTGGAGCGGCGCTGGCGTCCGCAGTGTCAGCCTCCGTTCTCTGCAGCTCGGGCGTCCCAACCTGTACTGGCCAGCCCAGGCTGAAAGGTCTCTGCCTGGACCTCAGTCTCGAGCCTCTGGCAGCCCTGTGCGCGAGCGTGGAAGGACCAAGGCTCTCGACTCTGTGCCCTTGAGCCACAGTCTGCCTATACCAGGCCTCGGGAAACTATTAAGAACGACCTTGGAGGGCCGTTCGGAGGTCGCAGGGAGCCCCGACCGCACTCAACAAGCCGTTCACCCCACGACTTACTCGTGATCCCTTTAATTCACAATGTGAATCATTGTGGCCTTTCTCCTGATTCTTGGACACGCTGTTCACGTTTGTGATTAATAGAAGCAGTATAATGCATTCGTGAATAGCATGGGTTTCACAGTTGGATGATCCTTGGTTCACAGACTAAATATGTGTTTTCTGGCAAATTGCTGAGTTCGTTTTCTCATCCATTAAATATAGGTAGCAAAAGTGACTACTTTATACAGTTGTTGAGGATGAAAGGAGATCACCATCTTAGTTCAGTGCCTACTATGTAGTGAGCAGTCAGTAGGTGTTACCCATTATTCTCAACTCCCCATCACAGGTCAAACAAAAAACTAGAACAGGAGGTGTCTACCTAGTTAAACTCTACTTAGCACAGTTTTGTCTCAGGGCACTTAGGACCTCAGTAAACATGTAAGCTGTTAGGGTAGGGGTTCCCTGGAGAAAGAGAACCAGGCATGGCTTTCTTAACATAAGAGAAGCCATTTTTGGCCGAAGCCATTTTGTAATCTAAGCCTGGACACAATGCTTGTCCTTGAAGAGGTCTCAGTAAGTAATGATCTTAAAGGAACAAAAGAATGCAGAAACGAACGACTGTTAAGCAAGAGAAGCAACAGCGGCAAAGATAATATATTAGTTGTAAAGACCAATGGTTCTGGGAATTCCCTGGTGGTCCAGTGGTTAGGGCTTCATGCGTCCACTGCAGGCGGCACGGGTTCGATCCCTGGTTGAGTAACTAAGATCCTGCAAGACACGTTGTGCGGCCAAAAAAAAAAAGACTCCTAGTTCTGTTTCAGTGGTAAAGATTAGCCTGAGGTGCTCAACCACCAGATCAGCTGGAACCCAAGGGATGATGATGTTGACCTTTTTTGACCCTCTTATATCAGCTAAAGCTTGGAATCTTTCATGAATATGCATGTACCCTTAGCTGAAAACTTCCCCAATTTTGCAGTTGGGAGAAACACTGCTTTGGAAAGGATCCCCGCTGTTCTACTTACTTGCTGCAAGTAATAAATCCTTCCCTCTCCTGCTCTTTTTTTTAATTAATTTATTTTATTTTATTATTTATTTTTGGCTGCGTTGGGTCTTCGTTGCTGCACGAGGGCTTTCTCTAGTCTCAGAGAGTGATTGCTACTCTTCATTGCAGTGCGCGGGCTTCTCATTGCTGTGGCTTGCCTTTGTTGCGGAGGACAGGCTTTAGGCGTGTGGGCTTCAGTAGTTATGGCACGGGGACCCAGTAGTTGCGACTCACCGGCTCTAGAGCACAGGTTCAGTAGTTGTGGCGCATGGGCTTAGTTGCTCCGCGGCATGTGGGATCTTCCCGGAGCAGGGTTCGAACCTGTGTCCTCTGCGCTGGCAGGCGGATTCTTAACCACTGAGCCACCAGGGAAGACCCCCTTCTCCCACTTTTTGCCTTGGTTGTGTCTTTTGGCTTGACAGCCACCAAGAGGGGAGCACAGTTTTCAGGTAACAAGCTCTTCCCTTTCTGTGGACTCATCATGTTGCCCTTAAAGATCCTTTATCATATATTACCTTTCAGTAGTTTGCTATGGATATCTAGTTTCTTTACCCAGATATTTTAAGCTCCTAGAAGACTGGACCTGCCCTGTCTCCTCTCAGCTGTGCTGTACACATAGCAAGGGCTTGAAAAATGCAAAAGAAAAAATAACTTAGCTTTTCAATGCATCTTTAAAATCACTTGAGTTCCTCAGTATTACTGTAAAATAAGGGGAGCACAAAGAATTGGTCTAAGTTTGCGAATATGCACTTTGAGGCCCATGCAGGTAGAATGACTACTAAAGTCAAGAGTGCAAAGAACCAGTCTAGTTCAATTTCCTCTCAATCACAATACATCAAACCATTAATAATGAGGGTTATACCATCAGTTTGTTAGCTTATATAGGCAGGAGTATGAATGAATTTGTTGAGCATACCTGGATTATTTTACATTTTTAGGCAGCTTGGATTAATTAGAAGAAAGTCAATTGCACCGCCAAATGGAAATCTAGGAAGAAGCAAATCTAGTAAGTAGTGTGCTTCATTTCTTTATTTTCTGTAGCCTTGCATTTTTAACACTGGTAAAACATAAGGACACTCTGATCTTTTGCAGAGCAGTTGTTTGACTACTTAATTGTCATTGATTTTGAGTCGACTTGTTGGAATGATGGGAAACGCCACCGTAGCCAGGAAATAAGTAAGTCTGAACTTGACTGCAAATGGCCAAAGGTAACACTAGATAAGTTACTTTAAAGTTTATAGATATAAAACAGTTAACAGTTAAAGAAAACAAAATGATCTATGAATTGGTAATTTACTATAAAATCTGACTTGACAAAAAAACCCAAAAACCTAATACCTAATTGTGTCATCATATAAAATAATTGTTTTAGGATTATATACAAAATCTCAATTGCATAGAAGCTGAAAAGAACATAATGCCTTTGCAAAAAGAAGTACGTTTCAATTTTCATATGGTCTTCATATTTAATTATGGAAATATATTCAAGAGTTTTAAGTAGATATACCTGTAACTTGAATAGTTTGACTTATTCTTTGGCATAACTTTTTTTTTTTTTTCCTTTGGCATAACTTAAACCATTACATTACACTGCTTTGGTCATTTTAATATGCTTTTACTAAAACAATGATTGTTTAATAATGAATGCTATATGATGGTAATATATATTTAATTTAGAGTGATTGCAGCATTAATTTATCAATTGTATATTCAAGTGTCAATTGATGATTCTTTCATGTAGTTGAATTTCCAGCTATATTGCTAAACACATCAACTGGAGAGATTGAATCTGAGTTCCATGCTTACGTTCATCCTCAGGAACATCCAATTCTTTCTGAATTTTGCATGGAACTAACAGGCATAAAGCAGGTATGCCCTTCTCTTTTCCTCATTTCTCTTCTCATCCTCCCACCCCAACAAAAAAAAAGCAGGCGAGATGCATATATTAAAATTCAGCAATCAGTTTCAAAAAGAAAATAAAAGCTATATGCCATTTGGAATTAGATTTATTCACTGTTAGGAGATATAATGTCCCCTCCAGAATCTTGGAATCTTTAAAAATTAGAAAGAATTAGACTTTCCCGTGGTTAAGACGCTGTACTTCAAGGGCACAGGTTCGATCCCTGGTCAGGGAACTAAGATCCCACGTGGTGTGACCAAAAAAGAAAGAAAGAAGGAATAGTGTTATAAAGATGTATATCAATTTCCATACTTTATGGAAATTAAGTGACATCAAATTTCTGTTGATCGAGATATATTTATTGTATTTCTGTGTGATTTAGATTGATCAACCGAATTTTTCTAACCTTGCAGAATTCTAACCATTATATTATTTCTCTCCCATGTGTTTTAACATCTTTTCACTAGATGAACTCTTTGCCAGTTAGAATTTCTTCTTCTTTGTTGTATATCCCCCACACATTGCCTACTTATGTGCTCAATAATTATGGAATTCAGTTGTTGAATTCAGATTTTATGACTCTATTCAGGCTCAAGTTGATGAAGGAGTCCCTCTGAAGATTTGCTTATCTCAGTTCTGTAAATGGATTCAGAAGATTCAGCAACAGAAGAAAATTACTTTTGCTACTAGGGTTTCAGATATTTCTACTTCTGAAGTAAAATTATGTGCATTTGTTACTTGGTCAGGTAAAAAAAAAAAAAAGTTGTATCTATCAATCATAAATGAGTAGTGTTGCCACCGTATAATTCTTTATCTCTGGTAGGAATTATACTTGTTAGCTTCCTGGGCCACGAAAAGAAATCTAAGTGTCTAGCAGATGTTAACCAAGAAAAGTAAATTTATTCATATTTTAAATTTTTTAAATGCCTTAAAAATTTAAGCCCTAACTTTAAAGAATCTTTCTAGACTGCTCCTCTCTGTTCTCCTGAATCCAGGCAAAGACTGGTGAAAACTCTTAGCATGCTATTTTCTATAACTTTGAAAAAAAAGAGTCCTTATTCAACTCACAACCTTTGCTTTTATACTTTCACACTTCTAATGTAGACATCAAGGAAAAAATGGACCATTTAAAGTAGACCTTTTCTATGCCCATGTTAGAGCATTCCCGTTAATAGTCATTGATAGCAGTGCTGTGCCATTGATAGCATAGCACTGATAGTCTTGGGTCTGTATGATCAGGCCACTCAGGATGGCTGTTCTCTTGTTCTCTGTACATCCCCTGATTGACCAGTCCCTGCTTTACTTAACACCCTACTCATATGACTGACCTCCCCTCTTAATACATACTTGCCCCTGGCCCCAGCTAGTGATTGTTCTAATCTTTAGATCAGAATATCTCCACCATGATA